TTAATATTATTCATATAAATCATTAATTATTTAAATTAATATCAAGTATAAGTGAGGAGAATCACATTGTACATTATGTCTAATCAGTAAAGAATATGAATTATTTAATATTTTGTTGATTATACATAATAATTAATATACTTATTCTACTAAATATCTTAATTAAGTGAATTATGCAAGTATAGATAACCTTAGATATGAAACAATCAATTCAGTCGGTATATATATATATATATATATATATATATATATATATATATATATATATATATATATATGCGCATCATTTTCATATCTTGTTAATTAGTGAAACTCATCTGTGTAGGCTTTATTTTGTAGAAAATGAAAATATTAGAGAGAAATAATGCAAACTATTCTATCAAATTATTTCTTATCCAAATATAAATATTCATTACATTTATTTTGATTGAGATCATAAACCGATTGATGTTAGAACACTGTTGGAAACCTGGAAGCAATAGACATCCGTTTCGTCCTGTTGTGGAACTACTCAGCGGTGCGCATCCACGATCTCGCTCACGGGATTTGAACCTCGAACCTTCAGTCTTGCGCGTGAACTTTTGACCTACTCTGCCACTGAGCCGGCATCCAATGGTGTTATTGTCTAAATGGCTTTCCAGTGCTTCCAGGTTTATAACGGTGGTCTAACATCAATCGGTTCATGATCTTATTTAAAAACTTAATAATCTCTACAACACCCAAACTGTTCATTACATTTAGTTTAACAAAGTTTAGTTAAATTATATTTTGTATATTTTCAGCGAGACTAATTTATGAACGAGCTAATCAGAGGCGTTCTAGAGATTTCAAGGTTATGGCGCCAACTTCAGTGCTTAATGCTAACGTACGATCGGTTCATGGGGAAATTTGTACAAAACGTGATAATTTAGAGGCTATAACAAATAAAACAGCGAGACTATAATTTGTGGACGAATCAACCAGGTATAAGATAATAGATCTCAGATTTTAACGTAAAAGCCTTTCATCCATTTGGCTAAATAAATTTCTGACATTATAGCTGATGTCAGTTCGTGATGAAAACTCCATATATAATCCCTAAGGCAAATTACGATAATTATTGCGAACTGGAGAATAAAAGCACCAGTAACACTGGCTGCAGCCAGGTACTACAATATATACGGATGTTTTAGGAGCATACAGACTCCTACATAGGCTTGGTTATTTGCATCGTGTCGTTATCCACAAGTAGCATTTTGTGCACTCGACAACCGGAGTGCACATAAACAATATTGAAGCTATGTGGTCGAGGTTGAAAGAGCTTTTGAGACTTTATCATGGCTCCAGATGCCGACTATTCTGTAGCCGTATGGATGATTTCCTCTACTGCATGGATTACGATTTTAGGACCTCTGAACCTCTTTCTAACCTTGACAAGTTTTTGAACCACGTATAAGTGTATCCATTTTATTTGCTTGGTTTTGTATAACATCTTTTTACTCTATGCTGACTGTTTGCTGACTGGCTAATATTTCTCAGGGTCGCCTAAGATTCGTTCAAAGGTCATCCATAAACTAGAGTCTCACCGAATAAGTAATATTAAAGCAATCTGCTCAAGATGTATATATGTTAATGGTGACATGATTTTCAATATATAACACCAAGTTACTTCATATCTGTTTAACAGGTTAGTGACTTTCTGAACTCAATAATTCAGTAGACACCGTGTTGTCGTTTGACATGAAATATTTTTGTGCTAGGGTTGAAGCTATCACAAGTTCACTTAATCTGCGAGCGAGAAACAAGACTCGGTGACCAAAGACCAGTAAGCTAGCTATTGATGCGTCCCAGCCCCTCTAACTAGAGGGAGAAGTCCAAGCTTGGAATGGGGAAGTATATTCTGTAAACAGTCAGAAACGAGTGATAAAAACAAACACAATTCAAAACGTATATATACAGTAGAAAACCGTCTTTGGGGAGAGTTACCAAATAGCATACTGAAAGACGCAACGGACCAATAGCATTTAAGATATTTTCCAGTGGAAAATACTACATGAAAGTGACAAGAGCGTTTTGGGCGCGAAAATAAAGAAATTTAAATTTTTTTAATAAAATTACAAAATTAGGTCTTTTTCCAAGTGAGTTCTGGGGATCTGACGTCCCCAACATCTTGTTTCAAAACTCGGTGTGGATATCATCAGTGGCATGCATGTGTATAAAAAAATTTATTTCCTGGTTTCCACCGTTAGCTACAAAACTACTTTACTAATAATTGTGTGTATTTAGCAAAGTACATAGGAATGCCTTGCGGTATGAAAGTTTTTAATTTTTAGCTAACTTACATGTCAACTGGTTTGGAGAAATAACAATAAACCATCATAAATACAACAATAATTAAGTTACCTCATCTCATCTCAGTGTTTAAAGTATTTAACTACAAACTACTAAACTACAGGTACAGTTGTCTCTCCAACTACATGAGCTTATGTAGTCGGATAGTTTCTCAAAGTCTGCCACATATAAAGATTGCTATTCCAACCTGTATACATAAACCTTTACTTAGCATCAATAAGACATTCTTCGGAACTTCCAGTAATAAAACATAGGTGTCTACACTTAACAATCTTGAAGATTATTGGCTTACTCTAAACTAATTATATCTGTATTTACTTTTTTCTGTGTTGTTAAAGGATTGCTGATAGATTAATAAATTCATTATTGATGAATGAAGGTTTTTCACTAAGTGCACTCCATCCATTTAACGAATTAATTAACCTCACTTATGATGTCCGTATGTTATTTCTTATAAATTCAATTTTGTTGGAAAGGTTATTTTCTCTCTAGTGATTTTGAAGGATTATACGTTCATGTTCATTATACTGAAGCCTAGTATTTCTCATTCGATTTGTGACTTGCCGATTGTTTGGGTGACCTTGTCTTCTGAATATGACCCATATGATAATGGGGTTTAATTATTTTTTGATCCTTTTTGGATTAAAAATATAGAGCTCTTACTCCGTGTATATTGTTCATTTTGAGTACTGGTCAGACCTTGTTAATAATCACGAAATGTCTTTTATTACCTGAATTTCCTAGTGTGTTTTGAGTTTCAACTGAAGTTAATGAAAAGTAATCAGATTAAAGCATTGAGGTTTGTACGTCACTCTGCAAGGTACTTTTTTCAGCATTCAGTAGTATTTTGAATGTTATTCAATAGGGTTCTCAGTTATTTGATTAAAAGTCAAAAACAAGTGAACTAAATGCGTTCCATTTATTTTTAACAGGGTCATAATAGCATATAGACAAAGTTGAGACAAACAACATTTTAGACAAATGTTCTCTTGCTCTGATAACTTAATTTTAACAAACAAAACTTATTACGTGGATATTGTCAATGATCGAAAACTTGTAGTGTGGCTTCGAGTCGCGGTTCACTATGATCACCACTACAAGAAGGTTGCGTACCAGATATCAGAAGGCGATTGGAGGTTATAGCGAGATATATTTGTTGGCGATCTCGTGGTATCGAAAGAATACCGAGATCGTGCCAGGTTACAAGTGTGATTACCGAGAGTAACCGAATTCGTGCAAGGTCACAGTCAACGGAAGGGAGAATATCTTTAGTACAGTCAAACAAACAAGTACAGTAAAACAGTCACTGGTACAATTGGTTGTAATAATAATTGTTCCCATTAAACCAATCGCGTTCCCTTGATAAAAGTAGGTCACTACAAGCCATATCCCAATGATCCAATATAGCAATTCAGTTTAATAGATGTTGTAATTGCTCTCTTGTTATATTGATCAATAATAGCATCCATTGAAGTTTGTAAGTTTTTATCTATGTGGACAGCATGGTTAAGTTATCTCAATTTATGAAGATTAAGAGTTTCATTCGTCAGTCTATGTTCACCATCGATCAGTTGATGATCTCGTTATAAATGAACAATAACGAATATTCGTTATACTCTGCTATAATATTTTATTGGTGAAGGGACGAAAGTTACATTCATACTATTTAACAACTATGTATCGCTTGGGTTAAAATGGATATACAACAACTGATTTCATTGCGTTTATTCATTCACTATGTAGTGATATCGTGTTATACGAACTGTTTCCAATGTACTTTAAATGAACAAATATATGGTTGTCACTTTTGACCTGGTTTCTGATAGCAATTTTAATTATTCTAGTATTTAATTAGTATAAGGGCTCTCTTTTTCTGTTTGATTATTTCAATTTACTATGTAAGCATTCATTCACGACTGAAACTTATTAGCATGGTTTATTCATATTGGTCTGTTCTCTCTACATTTCATTGATCATTTCAACGAAATAAATTGATTATTCAATTAATCATTGTCTATTTGAAAGATTCGTGTATAATGATCTCATTGATATTTAATTCTAACCAATTGATAATGTCACCATGGAAATACAAAATTATTCAATTTTATAGTAATTTTATTGTGTGTGATCTTGGAGTTTTTTCTCACAAGTTCTGATAAACTACAGTTTAGTAATTAGATAACATCTACATCGTTAAATAAACTAGATTAAAACAGTTACTATTACGCTTTAGTTGAAAGTGAATTCTATGAAACTGTAAAGTTCTTTCCATTAAATCATAATGTTATTTAAAGAAAAATTGATAATCACACATTTCTGAACTATTGTTTTGTTTTAAGTTGAAACTTTTCACTAGTAAAGACATACAATCGAATATTGAATCAAACTTTAAGCCCTTTATGTCTCTTAATGAGCACTGTTCCTTTAAGTTATTGTATTGAAATTGCCTTGTTAACAATTTCAACTGTAATTTTAGATTCGATCAAATGTCATTTCATATGTGCTTTGTGTTGAGTAATGTAAAACTAGAATTTAAAAAAATTGTTCGGTTCTCAGTACTTTTATTTAGTTCTCCAATTGATGGTAGTTCATGTTAGAAATGAATTTCAAGTTAATATTTGCAATAATACTTTCAAATACAACATATCACAACACTTTTCGTGATCTAGATTTCAGATGACAGTTTTTTATCAAGTGAATCAGAAATAAATAAAGTTGGAACCAGTGACGAGATGACTATTCAATCATCCAGTTATCCATCATCTATGGTTTCATTATCACAACATAATAATTCACTGACAAGTATTCGCAATAGTTCACCAGCATATAGTTATAAGTCAAGAAATGATAAGATAAATGGTGCTTTATCCGTTCAAGATACTCCCATCTCTATTGAATCTAAGAAGTCTGATCAACGGAACAATCATCAATCAATTATAAGTGATATTGATTCAGATATAATTAGTAATAGATCAACAGTAAATGGAGGACGTCGACGAAATCAACAAAAAGATTTTCTAAGTTTTAATGCACGTGCAAAAATAGTGAATGAATTGTAATAAACTGAAATTGTTTTCAAAGTTTTAAATCATAGAAACAGATATTGTTTATTCAAACAAATCAAATTATCAATGTGTGTCACTATAAGCTGCTGATCGAACTAAATATTTGTGAAAAGTTTACAAGAGAATTTTTTTTAATAATTTGTATTACCACCCCATTATTTGTTATTTTTCTTATCGTTATTTTCTTCTATCATTATTTTAGTCACATTATTAATGATTTCATTATTTTGTATAATAAAAATCTTTAATTATGAAGCCCTTTTTTGCCTATATATATGATTAAAATGTTTTTGTTATAATAGTTATAGGTCATAGAGGTGTAAAAATAAATAAGGTGGTATGATGAGCATTAACGAATAAAATAATGAGAATAGTATATTATTATTATTACTGCATTCCCCCTTTACTTATGTCTTATATTCTCATTATTTTATTCGTAAATGCTCATGATATCACCTTATTTATTTTTACACCTCTATGACCTATAACTATTATAACAAAAACATTTTAATTATATATATATATATTTAACTTCAGGCTACAATCTCCAGTTTTAAGGGATAAAAACTAGTATCGAACGCTCACGTCTGAATATAATGAAGAGAAATAAAAATGTTTGGATAAATAATTATTACGTTGACCAGTAAAATGAAAGTAAGATTTTGATCAACCAATTGGGTACAAGTGAAGAAAAATGTTTAACTATGTTTTCGTTACTCATAAGTAGTACAAATTGATGATGCATCATAAGTGTCACAGAGTGAATGTAATTTCGGTACTATGATTGTGATACAAAGAAGAGGTTAAATTTTGTTATCCTAAAATGCTGAGTGAAAATAACATGCAAACATTCTTTTAAAAATTAGATTTTAGTTTGAAAACGTTCATTACTTCTAAAGAATAAAATATCAATTTAATTTAACTCTCAGTCAACGAACTTGTGAAAAATTTCACTGAGGTATATTTGCAAATTTTGCTTGAATGATGTTTCATCTCCAGTTTAAGCGTATTTTCTTCAAAAGTGTAGTTTGAAATCTGAATTTTGAAAGCTAACCCTGCAACCTCAAACGGTCAGATTTTATTTGGATACGAAATAATATAGCAGAGGTGGATGGTGGCCAGCAGTGGAACCCAGGACGCATGTTTCGTCCTATTTTGCACTCGTTAGACGTTTGTACTTGAACCCAGTACCGTTCGCGTTAAACGCCATCACGTTATCCAGTTAGCTTCTGAGTCCAGATAGCCACTAGATTGTGCATTTGGGTGAAGTTTAATACATCTAAGCTAGACCACCATCGAAAATCTGGTAGTACTGGATCACCATTTCTCCCTAGCATGGGACTCCTAAGCACTTTACACTCACGTCCTGGGTTTCCAGGTTTTCAATAATGGTCTAGCTTAGATCGGCTCGTGAATTCAAGTTTTAAAATACTACAATCTCCACAAATCCCCATACACATGTTTTGGTATTGGAAGTTGGCTAACACCATCTATCTCTGCTTATAATGCTTGTGACTTAGAGCAACATCTAAGCAATCCGCACATCATGAACATATGCCAATAAGAGACTGATCAGTTGTATTTTTAAACGTCAGTCGAAAGATTCATAGAAACAGTACAATAATGAATTGATGTCTTCAGTTGTGGGTTAATTCCTTGGATTAATTTCTGCCTTTTGGTGATACTCAAAATCAACTTATTAATAAAAAGGTGATTTTAATGTAGATGTCATCCCTTGTATAGTCAGTGACATACCCTTTACTTATATTAGATTCAAGTATCAGGTTTTACTAAAGAAAATCAGAACTGACAATGAGAAATAACATTTGGACTTCCTAACTTGATAATCTGTGGTCGTTCGCTTGCAAGAGTTAATTTTGACTACAATTGGAATTTTAACTTCTACCCCTGAAAATTCTATATAATGCAGCATATTATATTGATGATCATTTTAGTCAGCATATTCTAAATAAAACTTGATTCATGTACTGATTTGTGCACTGTTAATAGGTCAAATGTTTATCAGGACAAATAGGAAAAGAAGCAGATAAAATGGGGGGGGAGATGAGGATCATACATAAAAGTATTTGAACATTTAGAACTCAAATGTTTGAAATAAGTTTTGATCATAACACATGCAAACGTATCTGGTGACATATGTTTGATCTATCCACATAGAGTAGTTGAATGTGTTAATCACTTGACTTTAAGCACATATCCATGCTTACTGATTATATGAGATAACTATGACTACGGCGAGCTGTCTTACATTGTTTAAAGAAGTAATATATGGGATAGGATTATGTTATGTGAAACATTTCCATGTAGAGTTAACGAAAAAACGACGCCATAAATTTGACCATAAGTACCAGGTTGCATTGATAGGACTACTCTCGACCGGTTAGTTGGGGTATATATAACCATTCACCAGTGACTTTAATGGGAAATGAGCTGTTTTTAGTCATTGTGCAACTCACCGTTCGACACTGATGATACTGAAAAAATGCATCACACTGATCAAACAAAAACATGCAGCAATTATTTCGCAACGTAAAAATAACTTCAGAAATAAATTATGAGCGTCCTGAAAACAGATGAATGGGCACAAAATTTTGTTAACGCTTCCTGAAGGTTGGAATTTCTATAACAAATATGCTAAGAACTTTTGTAGGACATTATTGCTCGGAGTGAATAAAAGAAGAGAACGGTAATTTCGTTTTATAAATGTTATCAGCCTCTCTTTAAAACCTGGCAAAATTTTGTTTCTAGACTACACAACAAGGACTTTGCTTTCAAAGTTGAAATACAATAAGAATGATCATGGACAGAATATATTAACTAACAGAGATTTCAAAACTTCTTAAGTTCGTACATGATTTTTTAGCTCTCAAAAGACCGAGATATTCGATGAATTCTGCTTAAAACCTGATTACATTAATATAAATTTACTCGGAGTATGACAAACCCACATCATTAGAATAAAGAATTGTATAAGTTATGCACATGACAGAACCTAATGTCTGTTAATTATTTTAGGTCTGAATACTTTTCAGGATAATAATAGCTCTACTTCTGTGAGATGAAAAAATTTGAGAAATCAAAACTTTTTTGAAAAGAAAAGAAAATATTGTGTGGGTATGTACAATGAGTAGTATTATCTTATCCCTGTGTTGACCTACGCTCTAATGATAGGAGTTAGTTGTGAGGTAAAAACTGACGTTTTATTGAAGTACAAGTGATTTAATAGTGAAAGCATTCAACTGTCACTTTATGAGTTATCGATTTGAGTACAGATCCAAATATTTTGATTTAAATAACCGGGTAATATTACTAACTCTCATACAAAGTGTCTGCTCCAAAGCAGTTATCATGAACCGATTCTTCGTTACTGAGTTGTCTTAACAAGTTAGAATACAACTGCATTTGGTCAACTGGCTTTGGATGAGATCGTATTATTAGTCGTTAGATCACGGCTTTTTATCTGCTAAAATGTATCAGCCACTTTACTTAAAGAGACCAAAGATAAGGATATACAATTAACTCTTTTATTCGCTTATTATTTTATATTTAGTATTTGTCACCAGCAAAATATGTCTATACGGAATTGTTTAATAAGGCAGAAAGTCAATAAAAAAATCATGAATTAACGTTCAAATGTTATTAACAATAATAAGTTCCAAAGAAATCAGTGAAAAACATTCTAAACAATGCACAATAACATGTAATAATCGATTCAAATTAATAATCGGCCAATAATCAATGAATTCAATATATTACCAATGAGTATTTTGTTTATCCTCTCTGTACATTTCTGTCACACATTTTTTGGATATTTTTAATCAAAATAATCTTACAAATAAGGCTTAAGTGCACCATATTAAAACCGTTTAAATGTCATCGTATCTTCAGTTCATGTATTCAGGAGTACAATACTGAATCTAGATATAGCAATTAAAATGTTTTCACCTTATTTGGGTCATATACAATATAACATATATACGGTTATTTTCACTAAACACAACAAATCTAAAACACATGACATTTAAAATTCACATTCATCAGAATCCCATGAATAAGATTCAATTTGTTCCTCAGGAAGGTCCATTTCTTCATCATAAATAAAATCGTGTTTTGTGGGCAGCATTTCGTTCCGTTCGGACAAATTATTCATAACAGCTTTCTTTCTAGGGAGTAAAGTAGAGAACAAATAGTGCAGAACCTGAAGATAAGATTTCAATTGGGGCAGTAAAGGAATAATAATTTATGGTTGACTGAATTAATTTGAGATTATTAGTATTACCTAAACGTTTTGTAACGCAAATGTTTTTTGACGTTGCTACTACGTCAATGGATAGTTATTTTAAACATCTCGCGGGTTCAGTTATTAAAATTTATGGGTATGAAATTTTGTCATTAAGAGTAGAGGATATTCGTAGATTACTGATATTCCATCATAGGTGTCTAGGGAGCATTGCTCAGGCATTTTGAGACCACGGAGTAAACAATACCTGGGTGAGGAATAGAATACTGTGTAGAGATTTCAAATCAGTTGATAAGGTAGTGAATCTTCGTCAACTGAGTTGATTAGAATATGTGTTACGTATGCTTAACTAACGCCTACTTCGACAGGCTGTGTATTTCTGATGTAGAACAAGGCTCGAAGAAAGTCTTAATCATAAAAAAACAGGAAAAAGTGATCAGTAAAATTTATAAGTGATGCAATTGTTCAATAGGTTTGCACTCTTTTCTATGGTATCTACCGTGATGCCACAATCATCATATAGGACAGTGAAATCAGATTCTTTTTTAATATTTATCACTTACAAATAATCTCAACCAAGAAACGCTAATGCATGGTAGCAGTAATGATAGAAATTCTTAATCACCACTTAAAATGAACCTAGGAGTTTATGGAAAAAATTCGAAACTCCAAAAATAAGAAAATGAAATTCAGATATTAACAACATAGGACTTTTTATTTGATCTTTCATGTTTGCCGTCGACAAATTCCTGAATTAGTCGTTTATTTAATTCTAAAGTTACAAACCATAGAAAATCTGTAATGGTTAGCCTCAAACTAAATTTGTTGATTGTAGTTTACAAAGAAAGTGTACACCACCATCGGTATAGTATACAGATAGCAGGCTGTTGAACTAACTACTAATTTAATATTACGTAGCATACAAAACGAAAAATCATATGTGAAATCATGAAAGTAGTTTATTTCTAAGCTGCCTTATTGATCTTTGAAACGTCAAACATAGAGCAGTGGGTTAACATAGTTCGAAACATTATCAAAACCCTAAATAAAAGGTGACGAGTCTAAAGGTTTCGTCTAGAAATTTAAGTCTCAAGAAACTTTTAAAATAGTTCTGAATTCGCATAAACCTAAATGGTGTAGGACGCTTTTGTGATGTTTGAATGAACTAATGATTCCTTTGTATTTGTTGTATGTTTGATTTTGAATTCCAAATACAGTACATTCGTCTGTGCTTATCGAGTGCTTCTTGATCCATTTGCATTATTTCTAAGATTTTCAGTTCATACTATAATTAAAATACTCCTAACTATCATAGTTTTACATTAATAAACACGTCTTTCAAACTCGAACTGCCGTAACCGCATGTTAAATAAATATAAACTAGTACCAGTCTTGCAGGATTAAAAGCAGAGTACATCAGGTCGCTCAAACTGAAGTTTTATCTTAAACTGGTGGCGCAACCGACAACACTAAATAAGTATTGAGAAAATAGAGAGACAGATGTTAAATGAGGAGAAAACTTTGACATCACATTAAAACGTAGATTTAAGGTTACTAAGCGGAGTCAATCTTCAGTTTTGCTAGTGCCAACAGTTAACACAAGAAAACACTTAAGTTTATGACGCAACAAATTTTACTGAAATGCAAGAAAAGTCTTAAATCTATCATCTTTAGAAGCAGAGTTCTTCTTACTTTTGATTTATAAGGCTAACAAAATAGACATTTAAATCTGGAAGAGATAATAGTCACAAAGCAAATCAAATTTATGCTAAAAAATACTCGACAGTTATTTGTCCATAAAAGTTAATGATATAGTCAAAAATGCTACCAACGCAGCATGAATATGTTAAACACTTTTGCTACGAAATAGTTCAATATTTCTCTCTTAAAATAGGGATCTGCTTTGGTGGTTGCCAATTTCCCTGTCTTACTAGTATCTGTTCTCCCAGATCCACTTATGACTTTATTATTTGAAGCATGCTTTTCTGGTACATAGCCGTACACCACTCCTAAATTAGCAGAAATTTCGGGAGATTTATTAAAATTTTAATGTAGCCATATATTACCTATGGGAATGGGCAGTTGAACTACATATCTACTGCGTTACAAAATCGTATGGTTAAGCAAAAAGAGAGTTGCTTAACAGCCATTAGTTGACAGGGAACGTCTATCGCACTTACTTTATTCTATATAGAATACATTATATAATGTAAGTTCTAAGAAAATGCCTGGTGTGAGGGTTGTATAGTTTAAATATCGTGAACTAGCAATCAAAAGTGTTATAAACAAAACCATGCAAGTGTTATAAAATACCTGAAAAACATTTTAAACAAACCCTTCCAATACATTATAATCAACACCGTTGGAGTCTTCATCACTTCGAATAGGATCCGCTTCTTTTCTTCTGTTCAAAGAGTCTTCAAGGTTCATTCCGCCACACAAATCTTTGAAAATCGTCAACAGTCGTAAAAGCTGTGTCTTAGGAATGAGATTTATGAACTGTTTATGACGCTCGTTCGCTCGCAATGCCTTAAATGTCTCAATGACCGATGAATTTTGAAGCATAGAAATTCGAATTCTCCTTTTTCTCGTTTTCAGACCTCTTTCATAGATTAATACTAGAGACTCTGAATTGATACTTATCCCGCAACGTTGCATTGTTATTGCAGAACTCATTTTTGTAAGTCCACAGAGGCACTATCTCTTGGGATTGAGTGTTTAAAACAAAGTTTGCTCATTATGAATAAAATTCAAAATGTTGAAGGAGAAGTGCGGAGAGATCCTGTGAACCTGTTATTCACAAATTGTTCATTAGATAATAAGCTTCAACCAACATTCTTGCGTCAAAAATGTACCGAATAAACAGACCAATAATTGGTCAATATTAAATGATTAGTTTATCGGTTTTAAACGATTTAAATAGCTGGAAAAAGACATTCAGCTAATCACTCTATTATTTATCGCCTCTCGTATGTTGCTTTTCTATGGAATTTTATGATAGCCTACTGTACACACATTTAAATGGACATGACATAAAACCTAGCTGGCTCTATGTGTTTCCGTGGATTAAGAGACGATAACGTGATATCTAATGAACTTGTTTGAAAAAAGCAGTAGAGTTAATGATCGCATTTAAATGGTTGTTCCAAAGCAAAAACGCCTATTTAAACAATTTCTACGTTGAAATACTTCACTTAATGTTTAGTGGACCGATATCAGCGGGTGCATTTATCCGCAACGCAACCATGTATCGCACAAGATCATCTGTGCGTCCAAGCAACCACAAATTTTATCATTTCATAATGTATTTTTAATTAAATAACTAGATTATGTAGTTAATTTTGCTCTGTTTTTAATTTCTATTCTACACGTCTGACTGCGTTACACTGTACATTTGTAGTGGCGTTGGACCATAACCACACAATCTTCAAAGCTGAACACAACACTACTCGGGAAATAGATATTCAATATTTAACGCGAAGAAATACCTAACGATGGAAAAGGCGGGAACAGTTAATTGAATGAATGGAGGTTGATCGGATGGCATGGCTCCATCATGCAGGCGTGGTCCATCTGAATGTTACCTTATATCTTCTATTCATATTAAATATATTGTTCCTTCTCTAGCCTAACCTTGTCCTACATCATGTATTGGTAATTGATACGATACAGTGAGCTGGTGTAGTCGATGGTGTGACTTCCACGTAAGATCTTATAGATCAGGCAGTTATATCATGACAAATCTACAAAATTTAGGATTAGGTCTATTATTAGAGCAGTACTAATATCATAGTAGACCAAAATTCTACACGTTCACTGCACTCTGGGATGTTATCCCAAGCCATAGTGAGTTTAATCACATAGTTGGTTGTTTCCAGATAGACTATCAGTGCATAATGTTACTGAAGAAAGGTTTGTTGTACTGTAAACCATGTGTCTATGAACAACTGACTGTTTTCTTCAGTCGGAAAGCAATATATATGCTTTGTCTTCTGTTAGGTAAGTTCAACTGGCCTATATTTCGTGTTTTGGTTTTATCGGCTTAATGATGTCCATTTAACTACTGTGAGCAACATGTCTGTGCAAATGAAACCATGACTATGACACTTGCTTAGTTTAGTATTTTCGGTTGTCGTATACTTCAGTTTAGTTGAAAGAATTATGGTATACTTAAGTATAGTGCTTGAAGCCTGTAACGAAACAGATCAGTTTAGTAAGTAGCGTTGCCTGTTTCTAATGAGTATACTGATGTTCGCAGCTGACTTTCCTCCTTCATTCTGTTAAGTATTACGAAACTGTTTTCTTAAAAAAAACAGGATTTTTTGAAGGCCTGAATACTATTCCTATTTCAGTGAAAAGGTTATTAATGAACTCTGTTGGTATAACCTCACTAACTGATAGTTATAGCCATTTTAATGCAACTCTAGAGAAAAGGGTACTTAGTATTCAAACATATCACTTGATGGTAAAATTCACCAAGTACTGTTGAAATTCTATATCCCATACAAAAAAGTGTCCTAAATAGAGCAAGAACAAAGATTGGTGCAGAATAATATGAATTCATTTTATTTCGTTAGGTTCTCATCAGCTGCTTACAACCTAAATTATTTGAAAATTCAAATTATTACAGATATTGACATATTTATATATAAGAGTGTGATTAAGGATCAATACATGTGTATGATGATCTAGCAAGCAAAGATTCAGATAGAGTTGGATTGTGATACAGCTGACGTTTTATCTTCTAGCATTGATAATATTTCACATAGTTTTTGTTCCGCTGTACTAGAATCTTTCGTTGTGGTACTGGAATCACATTTTATGTTTGGATCCGCTGCTTTTGTTCCAGGTATACTTAGGTGCCAAGGCTTGTTTTAAAGGCTCGCTGAATGTGTGGTAGTCAACTTAATCAGTTAGCTGGAATTGCCGATGGAGTACATCCCTCGATGATATGCGCACATATTCTGATCTCAGACAGCTTTTAAATAGCTACAACTACTAATCCAGCCGATCAACCAATAATTTTAAATCTAAGGTCGTTTCTATCTAACTGTAAAGCCAATATCGCACACTACGAATATGTAATAACTGCCTTGAGGTAAGTTCATTAGGATCTCTGCAACAAAAAGTCTGGATGTTCAACTTTGAACTACCTTCAAATGTTAGGCGTAACATTTGAATGAACAAAGTTTTATTCAAGCTGTTTGGGTCGTAATTTATTGCACAGTCGCTGATTCTTCTTTTTGAACCTGTTTACATCTTCAAGTGTAATTACTCAGTTTTATCGTCAACCCCACTAATCGACACCACATTATTAGCAATGGGTCTGTACACCGCACATTTGAGTGAACTAGATAGATGGTTGAAGGGCTGCTGGATTTGGATAAAAATGAAATGATCTCCCAGATTAGGTCTCTCTCACATCTTTCAGTTGAAACATGTCGTGACTTACATTTTCGTCATATCCAGGTACTATGGATGCATTGATGACCGCATAGTACAAATAACAATATTGCAGAAAAATTTAGAAAGAATAGTTACGAGAAAATGTGACCACCGCTGCATGCAGCTTTTTATGGAGTGCAACTGGTTGATGCGTGTCAGTTGTAATAATTTGTTCTCAAATAACAGTTTGTTACATTAGGCATGATGGTTTGCAGGTAAGATCAGATTGTTACAAATGATACAATTTTCGCTGTAGCAAATTACTCAGCTGGGTTGATATTTTACAAGATATGAATTTAGATGGTTTTAGTCAGTATCACAGTTTGCGCGATTTATGGAGGTTACGTCGCGACGTGCAACTGATGGTCGAGAATAGATCCATGGGAAGTTGGGGGCTTGTAAAAATCGCGACCTTATATCGCTTTAGAATATCTTAGGTTTTAATGATGTCGCATGACGAAATCACCAGTTCCATATCTGTTTTCGGTAGCATATATCAAGAAGGCTGAAAAATGGTGCAAGAAAAAGAAATGAGGAGAAGCAGAGCAGACAATGTTCATGAATAGATAGTTAAGGTATGACTACTAAGTCTAATTCTCTTTTATTAAGGTATTTATTAAGCAAGAGCATTCCAATAAGTTAAAGAAAGTAAGTGTAAACAAGTTATCAGTGGATAAACAACTGACAAATGGAGGTGGTTCAGAAAGAAGCCGGAGGTATGGGATTATGTGTAGTTATGAAATATAGTGCTAAAAACAGTATTCAGATACACAAATGGCTACCTCCCTTTTTTATCGAAGCTGTATGAGCCCTTTTTCAGACTTCATAGGGTCTTTAGTAGGCTTCGTTTTAAGCGGATTGTCTAGTTTCCGAGTAATAGGATAACTCAGTAGGAAGTGAAACCATTTCAGCGCTCTATACACGAGTTCATGAGATATTCCGCATAATAAATCAGCATCAATACCATAAGTTCGTGACATCCCACTAGACCAAAAGGAGCCGTAATTAAACAAAATTTTCTGCCCTTCAGACATGGGTGAATTGAATTTATCTCCTCACCATCATGTTTGCTGGTCAGTAACGATACCCTCACTCCTTTTGTGATGTTAGGCTCTCTTATGTTTGTGGTAAATATGAATATTGCTTTGATCAATGCCAATAGTTGGAATACGCTGTCTCTACTAGTTCGATGTTACAAGCAAATCAGATGTTTAAAGCATTTGTATTATGATTTAGACATCCATTTAATATATCACACTGCTATGAAGATAACTAATGGTAAAAGTAAAAAAGTAGGTTAGATTATATGTGGCTTAAAGATACTAAGGACCAATAGCAAATCAAAGGATATGAATGAGTATAAAATTACAAAATTTTCTGTGTAAGGAAAAATAAAACACTGATCAAGGAAAAAAGGACTTGACACTTATGAAGAATAATTTATCTTTAACTATTAGAGAGGTTTTGGAACCGAAAGTGAGGGCTGGGAGCTTAAGGTCATGAATAATAAATAGTGATTAATAGAAGAGGATAAACCATATGTTCTGTAATTTAGTTATATTCATATTAATAACAATGGGGCTCGTTATATTCTTGTTCCGTCTAGATATCAGCCAGTCCATAATAAAGCGTTTCATTAGTGGGCGGTAGTTCAAGTAGTCGTTGAAGCTCTTTAGAGTCTAGAAACATGGCTATTAGCCTTTTGAATTTGGTAAAAGTGTCACAGTTACGGACAGATATTGGCAACCTGTTCCACAATAAACTATACCGCACTGTTAAAAACTTACAACGCATTTGTTTTTGGTGTTTACGGTCAGTAGTTTAATTGCGTTGTTTCTCAGTTTATATGCTGGATTATGGATCAAATTTGGGCAAGAGGTAAGAAATGAGAGTCCATACACCGTTTTTTAAAGAAATATTAAATCGTCCCCTAGCCTACGGTGCCATAATGAGGGGTGCTTACATCTATCTGTGTAATCGAGATT